ACTGAAAACATTGCTATAATATCATGCTTTGCAAAACTCACATTCTGAAAAAGACATTAAAAAGTTTTCTTGTAAAAATCTCAATGTTGATTCTATCTGTTGCTAATTTTCTTTCTAGAGAGTAGATGAGTAATTCCTCATTGCTAAGACTTCTCTTTCTCTGTGGCACAATCACACTTGATACGATACTTGGCTCCATCCCATGGGTATCAAGGAAAGGAGTAGCTACAAATAATTTAAAAACATAATTTTTAAACAAGATTTTTGATGCTAACAAACCTTAACATAAATAAAAATAAATCTAACCAAGGTTTTCAAGGGAATTGTATCTCCTGAAAAATTATTGCACATTTGCATAGGAATTCATATGTAAGATTGTTCATTGTAGCGTTAATTGCAATGATAAAAATTTAGAAACAATGTTAGTAGAACAGTTACATATTGTAGAGTAAGCAAACAAAATAATGCTATAGAATATTTAAAATGAATGCCCTAGATCTACAAACTTACACATCAATTATAAAAAAATTAATATTTTGAAGGAAATAATATTTTGAAGGAAAAAGTATATAATTTACATAAAACTTACAAAATTGTGAAACAGTACATATAAATTATGGAAACAAACATATGTAGCAAAAAGATAAAGAACTGTATGGGAATGCTTGTCAAAAAATTTAATTAAAGTAATGGCTACTATTCAAGTGTGTGGAATCACAGAGCCAAACAGAGAAATTCAATTAGATCTGTAGTGTTTTATTTATTAAAAAAAATCTGAAGCCAATGTGGCAAAATGTTAAGCTTTGACAAATCTAAGTGGTAGATACAGGTGTTTTTCATATTGATCTCTATATTTTCTGCATCTTTAAATTATTTGGTGATATAAAAAAGACAACCCAATATGGACAGTTAGTTCTCCACTCAGGAAATGATCTATTTTGAGTGAACCTAAAGGTATTACAAGTTCAAGACAAACCTTAGAGCTACAGTGACCCCACATACATACTGACTGTCCAGTTACATGCTCCCCATTTCATAGACATATCAGGAAATAATTTCTAAGCTAATACAGTGATTATATACTGTCCTCTTCCAGATTAAAATATTGTTACTTATTGTAATTTATATGTCCTGTGACCTGCTTTTCTAGAAACTGGCATGGGCCTCACTGAGCCAGTTCCTTCTGGGTGAAGGTAGACAATCTGGGCCAAACAACCTCATTTCCTTTTTCCTAAACTAACTGCCACTCAGGGGGATCGAACAAGCAACTGTAGCCTCTTTTAAAACAAGATAAACTATTTAATTTTTCCTGCCATGACAGGCTATTCTCTGCAGTATCCAGGCTCTGGAAGGGCTTGACAGAGGAGTTAGGAAAATTCAGGGACCTGCTGCAGCGGGCTTTACGAGACTCTGCTGGATGAGGCTTGAAATTGAGACCAGGAGAGCATTACAGAGAGACTGAGGCAACTGTGTCTGGCTAAGTGCGTGTTCTGCTCACCACCCCACCCAGGCCGCACATGCAAACTTCTCTCATGGTGCATAACATGAAATGCAACAGCATTTAGCTCTGTCTATATTATGTGTGCTTACACATACAGCTACACCCAAAACAGAAGCTGTTTAAACGATCCTCTTCCTCTGTGATGCAATGCACTCTGATATTTTCTCTGCTAATATCTTACACATCAGTAAAAAGTTGCTGATCACAGCCCTCACATTGATTGCACAGTCCCTGATGAGTCACACTGAAAAGTTCTTCATGAATTATTTCTATCCCCCTTTGTTCAAAAATCCTATTACATTAATCCAGCAAGTTCATTTAGAAACCTGATATTATTCAACTCCCGGGGAGAACTGTTTTGTATGGAAAATTCTTGTCGATGGAAAACATTATTTGTAAATCAATAACAGACATTAAAGCAGATTTTCATTTCTTATGTACTTTCCATCTTATCTCCACCCACCCCCAGCTTTCCCTGCCTGGCAGCGGGAAACCAAGAAAACATATGTCAAATGAGAAAATTTATTATCTAGACAGGAGAAAAAGAACCAAGAAATAATGACATGTAATGGCACTGTACTTTTTAAAAATGAAGTGGCAGGGAACTAAACTCAGAATTTACTAAAATAACTTTGAAAAAAAGCGATGATGGACAATAATAAGATAAACAGTTGTGACTGATAACAACGGTTAGTTCTACACTTTCAAAGCACCACAGGTATCTGTGGTTAACTCTATGACTCATCCTTAGCACAGGCCAATATCAAGGTACACTTTGTCAATTCCTCATCACCACATTTGCCTTATAATGTTCTAACTTCCAATTTATTTCAGCTAAAATATAGAGAATAAATAATATTTAATAAATAAAACATTTCACCAAATAGAGACCTGTCCTCAGGGATAGACACCTGAGTTATATTTGATTCTTTTTTTTTTTTTTTTTTGCTGAACTAATCTCTCAGAATACTTCTAGTGGGCTCATCAATAACCTGCCATTTCTCTCATCTATTCCCTTGATTAATTTATGTATAAAAACAACTCAAACTTTATCAGCCATCAGCTTGAACATTATGAAACACAGGTGCAAGGTCTTAAAGACCAGATACTCTGAAGCTGACACTGATCCAAGACTACGGTCATATTCATGTTTACCTTGCATATTTGTATCACACAGCTTGTCTTGTGTTATTTTGTATCACTTTTTTAACTAGAAATTAGAGCTTAACATTATGAGCATTGGTGGCTCTTTTAAAAGGTTTAATAGCATCTGTTATACAACAATACACAAAAAAAGGTTTCTAAATGAGTTATCTGGGTTATATTATACTTTCCATTTTTAGCTTTTTGTAAAAAAATATAACTGCATTTTGTAACAATTTTAGTAAAACACAAAATTATCATTACGTTCTAGCAACGGCTTGAAATTTGCATATGCTATTAACTGTACAACCTGTGCAAATGGAGGCTAATATTCTTTCTGTCAGAAATCAGTGTGAGGACGAATTATTTTGCTGGTCTATGATACCAGGAAGCCTTTAGGGCTTGGCTGCCCACTGGAGTCACCTGGGAAACTGTGCGAACTCCTGCGGGCTGGGACCCGCCCGGGTCAATTCCTCAGCCTGGGCGCGGCTCTGCGGGGCGGCTCAACAGCTCCCCGGCTCCGGTCTGCGCTTTAGCACAGCGGCCTCACCCTTAGGCTGTTAAAAAGTCAGACACTGAGAATGTTCCCCAGCCCTACTGAATCAGATTTGCGTTTTCAGGGGTCCTGATTTAATCCATTCGGAATTCTTCATCTATGAAAACAAGGGACCAATCCATTCCATTCTTTCTCTAAAATTCTCATTCCAGAACCTAAACAACATACTGAGAAGCACTTTTAAAATTGTCCATAACCCTCTACCTATAAAAGATAGACGGAACCCATTTCAGCCTCTCCCACGCCACAGTTCTGATTCCACAAACCTACCCAAATAAAATTCTGAGGGAGTTTATAAAAATTGGGTCATAATTCCATCTTGATACCTTTGCATGCACTTTCCCTTGCCTAGAATTCCTTTTCCTTTTCTCCCTCTCACTGGTACCCTAACCCTTTAAGACCTAGGTAAAAATCCAACCTCCTTTATGAAGCACATGCTGCAAAATAATGTGTTTTATCTAAAATTCTCCTAGCAATATGATTACTTCCACAAAGTCTATCACATTGTTTCTCTCTATTATTACATGTCTATTATCTTCTTTCCCCAATTAAATTGTAAGCATCTTAAGTGAGGAATCATGTCACATTCCTTTCCTATCCTATGCTAATACCTAATTTATTGAGTTATAAATTGTTAAAATATATATAAGAAGCAACAATAATAAATTTTCACTAATCTCACAAGATTACTTTCTCAAAAATAGCATATTATTGACTTTTTCCTACAAAAGAACCTCACCCTCATGCATATTCTCACGGATCTAGGGGAATCGCACCCACTGTGCCTTGTCACTCCTACTCTTTTCTATTGCTGCCTGAAGCCTGCTGGGTTGACGATAAAACTGCTTTAAATAGCACAGAAACTCTACAGAAAAAACCCTGCTCATTAGTCCTTAATATATCAACATCAGACTTATACTCTTTAGCTTCATGCCTATCTTATTCACCACTACATCTCTACATTAGTGTTTTGCACATACTGGGCATATAAATGAATTATAAACAGTATTTCAACAAACTATGCAGGAACAAATTTCTAAAATTTACTACTGAACTCATGATTACACATGGAAATATAATTTTTCATGCTTACCACCTATATATACTTAAACTGATATTTGTATGTGTTTTACCCCACAAATAATATATACTCATTGTAGAAAATACAGATTCGATAAAATGAAAATTACAAGTTATCTTTGAAATTGCACAGCCCAAATGTAACTACTGTGAACACTAAATGTATGTCTGCCCAGACCATCAATTTATATGTATAAACATATATGCAATTAAATGTATCACATGTATTTTTTAAACAGAAGATCACACTCTACTGCTATATAACCTGCCTTTTATTGAATTAAGTATACATCAAAACATCACTCAACAAGCCAGCCAATAAATTTATAATAACATTAATTTACAATGGTTACATTAAGAGATGTACCAAAATTTATATAATTTATCACCAATCTTTGGAAGATTAAGTTACTTTCATTATAATTTTGGTAATTATAATCAATGATATGATAAATAATTTCCATCATAAATGTATTTGTCCAAACATTTCCTTAGAATATAAATCAGGAAGTAGGTTTGCTAATTGCAAAGTTATGCACACTTTTAGGGCCTGTGATAAAAAAAAATTACCAAATAGATCTTTAGAAGTTTGTACCAGCGTACTCTTTCACTGGGAGTCAGGAGTTGTCTAAATAAATCAATCTGCATATTTATTAAAGAGTTGCATACAGTGGCATATGATAAAGAATCACTATTATAATACAGCTGGAAAATACTTACATTCCTTTTGAGAGTAGATTTCAGTTTGAAGAGACTGGAACTCATAATACGGTATCTCATGTTTGAATACGGCTGTCAGAACGCCATCAAGTTCTTCAAAGCCATTCTGTTTTCAAATGAAAAGGAAATTTTTCATTAGGTCAATTAGTTAAATAGAAATTAATTTTAGCACACTGTAACAAAAATGTATTAGCTGGAATAAATACTGGGTAATCTCTGGTAATATTGAGAACTTTTTTGAAAGCATAATGAGAAACATTAGGGGCTTGCCTAAAACCAATTATTAAGATAATGGAAGAATGGATGCAAGAAATAAAAGTCTTTACTTTTGAATGAGTAACTATAATTTCACTTAAAAACTAAGGAAGGCTAGATGGAGGGTTAAGGTGGCCATGCATGCAAGGAACATTCTAAAATAAAGGAAGAAATTGCATGTATGCATGGAGGTGTCATGACGCATGACCTGGTTAAGGACTTTAGGTACTTCCATAAGAATACAGGAGAATGAGAGATAAGAAGGACGTGAGCATGTCTTAAAGTGCCTTAGAAGGCTAAGACGTTTGTCATCTATCCTGTAAGCAATTAGTAAGCCTATCATGCTTAATGTGGAAATATTTACTGTGTGAATTAAATTAAGATTATTTAGTTTTCAGCATGATTATGATTGTTTATGTGACTGAATATTGATATTGAGTGGAAGCTATTCTATAAATGAAGATGTGACAATTTAAAATTATTAATAGTTATTACTCTTTAATGGCAAGCCTTTGATAGGAGCAGTGGGGGAAAACATTGGATATATGCTTGTGCTTTCTTTATACTAAAGCACAAAAATATGTTTTAAATATACAAACTGATAAAATAATGAAGAAAGCATAAAAATTGTAACAGTTTGTAAATTTCCTTAAAAATTTGTGTCAATGGCCATGACGGTTCTGCATAGCCTATTATCTAGTCATTGGTATTTTTACAGGAGATAAGTTTACTATTTCTATTCAAAAGTATACACAATTTAGTGGGTGGAGACTGGTGTGGCGTAGAGCTATTACACTCAGTTACAAGTTAGGTATAAGATAACCTCTGAGATTCCTTCCAGACCTGAGAGTCTGAGGCAGATGAGAATGCAAAAGAGTAGGAGTTCCCACCAGGAATATGAAAAGTGCCATTTCTCGTGCAAGGACAGACACCACAGCACTTTTTAACATGAGAACTGCTGCAGATGATACTGTTGAGTTTTAAAAATAAAGTAGCAGTGTTTTCAGAATCAGAGAAAAAAGAACTTTAAATTAGGAAAAAATACAGATATCTTTTAATATTCTAGCCTACCATAATTAACTGAATCACATCACTCCTATTTTCAATTTAATAATCATATTTCCAGTATTATGCTTGCATATAAATAAGTGGTATAGAACACAAAGATGTGAAAAATCATGGAAATGGTTGTTAAAAATAATCCCAAAAGGATTTCTCCCTAGAAGACAGCCTAACTAAACAGAATCTAATTTGAGTAGTTATCCTTCTTTTAAAAGTATGTTTCAAAGGCACAATAAGCATGCTTGCTAAACATTGGCATTGAAATTTGAAAATGTCATAAATTAGAATTTTTCTTTTCTTAAGATAAATTATACAACCCCAAAAGTACTTGATGAAATTGATATAACTGTCATTAAAAAAGAAAGATGAAAAGGAAATAGTGTAATATTTGTTTAGCTATATTCACAATTATCCTAAGATTTTAGTTCATGAAAAACTTGGTGTGAAACTATGAACAGAAAAAAATGATAAAATTATATGATACTATTATGTGGTTTTATAAAATTAAATATATATAATATATATCCATAATATATACATATATACACATCTATACATACTTCTCTCTCTATTAAGAATGTCAGAAAAAGAGAAAATAAAAAATACTAAGACATGAAATAGACAGAAGGCTGGTTAAAAAGTCATAATGCTCTGTAAATATGAAGTAAGTATATAACTTCTCCCAGGAGCATTTTTTTTCAATGCTACATGACAGATTAAGGAATTGATTGATGTAATTTAAATAAAATCATTCACATATATATTTACAAATCACAACTCTGTTTGAATTTGAAAGTGTTATATAAACTCATGCTTATTTCTGATAAACAATTTAATTATATGTTTCTTCCTAAAGAGAAAAAAATATAAAAATATCTGTTTAAAAAGATTATAATTATGGAATTACACTTCTGGGAAGATAAAGTAGTCATAATTTCACATTTTCCTCCCACTAAATGCAAATAAAATTTCCAACTTTCAATAGAAAATCACTTTTTATACCAAAAGCCATGAAGATCAATAAATGCCAACACCAGTTAGACCATGATGTTAGAATTATCTGTCAAAGGTTTTAAAGCAATCATGGTATAAATAGTTCAGCAAGCAATTACAATCTTGCTTGAAACAAATAAAAAATAGAAAGCCTCAATAAGAAAATGTAAGGTATAAAGAAGAACCAAACAGAAATTTTATAACTAAAAATGCAATAATCAAAGTAAGATCTCAGTGGACAGGCCCAAAAGCAGAATGGAAAGAACAGAGATAAGAGTCAGTAAACTTAAAGACATGAACAATAAATATTACTCAATCTGACAACAGAGAATATACTGAAAGAAAGAAATAGTGTTTCAGAGACCTGTGAGACCATAATGACAGATTGAACACTCGTGGGATCAGAGTCCCAGGAAGAGATGAGAATGAGGATGGAGATGAAAAAATACATGAAGAAATGATGGCTGAAAATGTCCTGAATTTGGCAAGAGAAATACACCTACATATTATTAAAAAATAAATAAAGAAAAAAAATGGGCAAAACTCAAACAGGATAAGCCCAAGATTCTTATGCCAAGAAACATCATAATTAAACTTCCAAAAAATAAAGATAAATAAAACTTTACCTATAGTGTAAAAACAATTAAAAGACAATGGCAGCCATGAAGGCCAGAAAGAAATGGCAAAATGTTTGTCAAGTGTTAAAAGAAAAGAACTGTCAATCTTATACCTCGCAAAAACGTCTTTCAGAAATGAAGGGGAAATCAAAACATTCTCAGATGAGGAAAATTAAGGGAATCTGTTACTAGCAAATATGCTTAAAACAATTAAAAAAGAAAAGTTCTCTAAATTGTACTGATATAACAATAGAATCTTAGAACATCAGAAGGAGAAATACAGTAAGTGCAAATATAGGTCAATACAATAGGCTTTCCTTCTTCTCTTGAGGTTTCTAAATTATGTTTGATGGTTAAAGCAAAAATTATGAGATTGTCTGATGTGTTCCAACTGTATGTGGAGGAAATATCTAAGGCATTTATATTATAAATGGGGATGGGTAAAGGTAAGTAAAAGGAGGTAAGATGCCTATACTTCACTCAAGCTGGTAAAATGAGGACACCAGTAGACTATGATAAGTTATGTATGTATTATGTAATACCTATAGCAACCACTAAAAATGTTATACAAAGAGGTGCACTTAAAATACCAAAGATAAATAAAAATGGAGTTCTAAAAAAAAGCTGAAGTTCACATGAAGGCAAGAGAAAAACCAGAGAAATGAAAACAGAGAGAAAAATAAAAACAAAAAATAAAATGGCAGATTAAAGCCTAACATGTCAATGATTACATTAAATGTAAATAGTCTAAATATGGAAGATAGAAGACAGAGATCGATAGAGTGGATTAAAAACCATTACCTAACTATATTCTCTTTTTAAGAAACTAACTCGAAATAAACAAGACAAGCAGGTAGAAAGTAAAAGGATATAAATATATATATCATATACATCATGTATATACAATATATACATAGGAAAGCAAGAGTAGCTATATTAATATCAAATACAGTAGACATTAGAGCAAAGAAAATTACAGGAGACAGAAAAGGACATTATAAAATGGTAAGACTCAATCTAGCAAGAAGACATACTAATCCTAAATATATATGTACCAAAAAACAAAGCTACAAAATATGTAAAGCAAAAACTGACAGAACTGAAAGGGGAAACAGACAAGTCCACAATAATAGTGGAGACTTAAAAACCTCTCTTTCATCAATTGGTAGAGCAAGTAGACAGAAAATCAGAAAGAACATAGAAAAACTCAAACACACCATCATCCAATGATCTAACCAACCAGCATCTAATGACACACATAGACCACTCTACCCAACAACAGCAGGATACATATTCTTGTCAAGGGCCTGTGGAACTTATACAAAGATAGATCTGTCATGGGACATAAAACAAATACCAATAAATTTAAAATTAGTTAAATCACACACAGTATGTTTTCTAATCATACTGTGGAATCAAACTAACTAGAAATCCTTAATACATGAAATCCTTCCACACATGGAATCAAACTAGAAATCCTTAATAGAATGATAACAGGAAAGTCTCTAAACATTTAGAAACAAACAACACACTACTAAGTAATCAATGCATCAAAAAGGAAGCCTGAAGGGAAATTAACAATAAATTGAATGAAAGTGAAATACAACATATCAAAACTTGTGGAACACAGATAAAGTAGGGCAGAGAGGAAATTTTATAACACCTTAGGAAAAAGAAAAAGTTGAAAATCAGTCATCTAAGCTCCCACTTCAAGATCGTAGAAAAAGAGCGTAATAAACTCAAAGCAAGCAGAAAGAAGAAAATAATTAATATAATGTTCAAACTTAATGAAATTTAAATATAAAAACAACAGAGAAAAATTAATTTGACAAAGAAGTCATTTTTAAAAGATCAATAAATTTGACAAAACTAGCCAGACTGACAAAGAAAAAAAAGGGAAAAGTTACAGATTACAAATATCATAAATGAAAGAAAGGATGCCATCTACAGACCCTGCAGACATCAAAGGGTGACAAGGGAGTACTATGCACAACTCTACATATGTACATTTGACAACTGAGATGAAATGGACCAATTCTTAAAAAACACAAGCTACCATAACACACAATCCCTCTTCATTATATCTTACAACTGTATGTGAATCTGCAATTATCTGAAAATTGAAAGTTTAATTAAGTACAAGCCACCCACAGAAAAGACATTCATTACACAAAGCCGA